AAATATGATAAAACATGATACTATGAATATGTTGTATTTTTAAATCAATAAAAAAACAAAAACTAATTCTATTTTCATAGAATATTTAACTAAATATGTGATATATAACGAAATAAAATTAATTTTGATTAATGAGATTTTCCAATTCTCCAGTTTTGTTTAACTCAACTAATGCATCAAAATACTGTAATGCAACAGAATCATCCCATCCAGCTGACCCCTTTTTCTTTCCAACCCACCCCAAATGTCCTCCTGTTTGAGTGAAAATAGAGATTGTGTTTGAAGAAGCATGAATGGCATTAGATATTCTTGATCGACTTCCTTTACTTGATATTGCAATAGGATCATCTTGTGAATTGAATGTGAGGAAAGGAACTTTAGAACGTGCTAATAAAGAGTACCAAAGTTCTATATCATAATAATATGTTTCATAACTTCCATATTTAAATATTTTAGAATTAAAATTTTTATCAAATCCTAATATATTCTTTCTTGTGGCTTGTTTATATAACACTTGAAGATCAACATTAATTACTTTATTCTTTACTGCGCCTATCAATAAATCAACATTCTTTACAATAATTCGCTGAAGTGATTTAAAAAAGTTCTCCATAAACAGTTGTGGAACTAAGTCAGAAATTATCAAAGAGTCCCACGTTGGAGATACAGCAATACATCCTAAATAATTTACTTCTTTGATGAACTCATTTGTTAATCTACAAACTACTTGTGTTAAAATCATTCCTCCAAGACTATATCCAATAGTCATAATTGGGGCTTTAGGGTATTGGTTATGAATTATTTTAAATGAAGTAATTGAATCATCCAAATTTGTAGATGAGTATGCTCGAGGCGTTTTAATTAATGTCCCCGCACATCCACGACAAGTAAACACACACATACGATAATTCTTTTTTGAAGCATAGTAACAAAAACGTTCAACATATGATTCTCTTGAACCACCAGCAAGGCCATGATAAACTAATATAATTGGAGCATCATCTGGTAAGTCTGGTTGGTCTAACCAATCTAAAGCAAAATAACCACCATCTGAACTGTCAACAAGTTGTCTGTTAAATTTCAATTGAACACTAAAACGAATTCCAACATATAACATTTGTTGAATACCAGAACCTATTGACACTGGAAGTTGGAATGGACGAAGAATAATCTTTTCAGACAATATTTTGCACAAAGAAGAAGGTGATGAAATAAGGGAAGGTTGGTCTTCTTTTAAATTAGGTAGATGAACCAAAAATAAAAATACAATCAACGATAATATCATCATTGAGATATGTAAAGTAAATAAAGAAAAGAAAAGCATCACCATTAATATAATTTGAGTATTTTTTAGAGGGTCTTGTTTAAAGAAATTAAAGAAATCTTGAATTGTTAAAAGGATAGATAGAATAAGGGTTTGTATTAACAAGACAAAGTTCATTAATTTATTTTTTTAAGTTCATTTATCGTTTTTTCTTTCACCTTATTTTCACTTCATTTATTTCAATTTTCTTTTATTAAAAAAGTTTATAAGCATTTTGATAGAGAAAAAGAAGAGGAAATATAATAGAACAAAAGAAGTAGATGAGAAGGTTCATAAATGTCATTATAATCATTGAACTAATAAAATAAATAACAAAGATTAAATTATCTTATGAATTAAAAACATATAAAAAATTTTCCTGAAACAAGTTTTCTTAACTGTTTAATTCTAATTCATTATAGTTCTATGCAAGAACCATGTCAAAATCCAGTTTTTCAAACAAAAGAAGATTTCTTAACAAAATCACTCGGTCAATCTGGTTTAAGAGTTAAGCCAACAGTTATTCCAACAAAAGATGGAAGTATTTCTGGGTTCATTGTTATTACTAAAGAAAAGACTTTTCTTATTGCTGTAGAATCAACAACTGTTCAAATAGTATTTTGTTGTTATAATTACAAAGGAGTAGTTGCTGATGTTATTGTATCTCCAAACTTACCCCTAAGAATGTATTGTATGAACCACCAAGGCAGGGTATTGTATTGTATTGGAATGAAAGATTCTTGGGAAGAAATGATTGAATATGACATTAAAGGTAAATGTTATGCTTATTCTATTATTTCAAATGTTGGAGAACCTATGAAATGTTTTAAAACAACACAACGATATTTGTTATTAGTTTGTTTTTATTTAATAAACATCATTTAATAATAAGACATTAATCATTCACTAACAGGGATTTGAGAGAGGAGTTAGAATTTATAAATTTGTGAATGAAATTAAGCACGAACTTAATCATCTTATAGATGTTGAATGTACTATCCCTTCTTTTGAAAGTATAGCACTGAGCAATAGATATGTTATTGTTCCTACTAATGATAAACCTGAAAAAGAAGATGAAGTTGCTTCTGGAGCAATGTCCTGGATTATGAAATATCCAGGAGGATATATTAAAGTGATTGACTTGGTTACTCAAAAACAAATTGGACATTTTGTTGGTTCTACTTATTCTCCTGTTCAATGTATTTCATTTAATGGAAATAGTAATTTATTCACCATTGCAGATAAATATGGAAAGTCAATTAGAGTTTATCGTATTAATGAAGTTGAGTCTACAAAGAAACAAATTGAATTACTTTATGTATTTAATAGGGGAAATTCACAAACCATAATTAAACAATTAAGTTTTTCTTACGATTCTACTATTCTAATAATACTCTCAAGTCAATCATTACGTTTTATCCCAATAAATCCAAAACATCAAGGTACATATGAATCAATTAAAGATGGAAAAGAAAATCTTCTTATTAAACCATCTTCTAAAATTCAATGTGTTACTGAAATGAATGGAACTTGTAATAGTAAATACAATTTTATTGTTTGTACGGAAGATGGAACAACTACTATTATTCGATTTGAAAAGAAAAATAATATGTTAGAATGGACAGAAAACAAGTTAGTGACGTTTGACCTTCTCCACTTAATAAATTCATTTAAAAGTAAAGACAAACTTTTTATTACTCCTTTTTCTCCATCTCTCAAGGAACGTGACTCCTTATTAAAATGGTTTGTTTCTAATTGAACGTTCTTATTTCTTTTTTTAATATAACAAAAAAAAGGTCAATTAATAGATATATCCTCAATTGGATTTTCTTCATACTGAGAAGTGATTATTTCAGTTTCTTCAATATGCTCTATTGGTGTAATAGAGTTCATTTCTGACATACTCGCATTAGATTGTTCTTCTTCTAATGTGCTGCCAGAATTGAATGTGTAAAACATCAAATCTTTCATATTTTTTATTATTATTGTTCGTAGGATTTTGGGGAAGTGTAATTGTAATTTTAGTGTTTTTAATCTTCTTACAGACTCTTTGTGTATTAATCCATTTATTGATAATATTACAGGTATTATTTCTACATATATTAATTCTCTATTCTTAATTTCTCTTGTAATTCTTTGTATTTATTTATTTTGTGAATATAATTTAATTCTAAATTATTATCTTGACATATAACAACATCTATAATATATCCTTTCTTTTCTTTCATATTTTGATATTATATATCTGGTATTCTAGCATGGAAAGAATGGTCACTAACCAATAAATCTTTATTGTAAGTTATAACCATTTCATCATTATTAATACATTTTGGAGTATTATTAAAATCAATTGCATCAAATTCATTAAGATGGGTAATTAATAAATGTTTAAATATTTGTTTACAAACATAATCATGTTTTAATATTTGATTCTTTTTCATTACATCATAACAATATATGACTAATAGATGCTATTGTGTTAGGGCAATGTTTACAATATTTTAAAGCATCATTTTGGAGTATTTTTGATTTAATATTTCCTGTCATACTTACTCCTTCTTGCATTTTTACTATTTGGAGGAATGCATTTCTTTTTATATTTAATGACCTCCATGTTGCTACTGTTAATTTCTTATCATTGAAAGTGCCATTTGCACATCTTATATATTCACCACATTTCTTTTCTTTCCATTCATTTAAATATCTATCATTTAATTCATTATTTACAAATTCAAATACTTCCTTTACATTGTGCTTTCTTTCATTTAATTCTATTATATTCATTAATTCATTAAAATTAATCTTCTTACCAAATGCTTTATTCATTCTTTTAATTATTCAATTTGAATTTTCTTTTATTGTTTCTATCATTTTTCATATTCCTGTGTCTGATATTTATATTTTAAATATATTCTTAATAATTCTTTACCACATTCATCTCTTGCTGACATTAATCCTAATCCCAATTCATTTATTTTAACATATAATCTACTTTTTGGGATATTTCTACTGTATAATTGGAGTTGTATTAATGAATTTCTTATTTGTTTATCTATCTTCTCCAATTCTCCTAGTTTATATTTGACAATACAAAATCAATATCTTAATTTGGAGATTATATCACTATTAATCTTTCTTATTGTATTGAGAATGCTGTATTTCATAGTGTTTAATGATGATAGAATAGAAGATATATCATTTAATATTCTTGTACAGTATTTATTAATATTTACTTTATCTCATATTTCAATACCAAGATATTTATAATGATTGTCATTAGTTACTCTTGGTAGTTCAGCTAATTCACCATTTATTTGACTATTAATATTATTCATTATCCCACTCTTTTCTACATTAATTTTTAATCCTATTGCATTAAATATTTCTTTAGTTAATTTGTGTGCTTTTTCCATTTCATCGAGGCTATTAGTTATTATCTTTAAATCATCCATATACAATATGTGGTTTAACTGGACTTGTTTTTCTTCTCCATTCATTTTGATATTTAATTTGATTATTTGTTTATCTAATTGTTTAGATAGTATGTCAATAGATAATACAAATAAAAGTGGAGATAAACTGTCACCTTGTATTATTCCTTTTTCTACATTAATAATACTATCACTTTCTTGATTATAATATAAATTAAGACATGTATTATTTAATATATATAATATACTATTAATTACTACAAGTGGGATATTAAAATATATTAAGCATTGTTTAATCCATTGATGGTTAATACTATCATATGCTTTGGAGATGTCATAATATGTTTCTACCCACTTCCATTTATTCTTAATAATAATTGTTGGATTATAGTGTTGTATAATAATCCTTCTTTTGATGCGTATGTGTATTTCTTACATCCAATTTGATTTAATGATAATTGTTTTTCAATTGGATTTAGCATCAGCTGGCTTTCTATTTTCATCTTTAATATTGATGTATACACTTTTAACAGACAATTTAAACAAGTTATTTGTCTGTAATTCTGTGGGTCTAATTTATCTCATTTCTTATATATTAATATTGTCCTTCCTTGAATAAAGTGAGGAGATATTTCATTAGGATTGTTTAACCATTCATTAAATAATTTTAATAAATATTTCATTGGTTGTTCTAAATATTTAATCCAAAATCCTTGTATTTTATCAACTCCCGGTGCCTTCCAGTTAGCAGTAAATTTAAGAGCACAATCCAGTTCATTTGGAGTGATTATAGACATTCTATTATTAATTCTATTATTAATTAATATTTCATATAAATTAATATTCAGGAAATCTATATTAGTATTAGTTTCATAGATTCATTTCCAGAAATTAATAGTGAGATATTATCTGGATATTCATCTTCTTTAGATTTATTTAGGTGTTGCCTTTTTCCATATTTCTTCATTTTATATTTCCATCTTATTCTTTTCCAATTATTCTTTCTTGCTTCTATTTCTATTCTTTTCATCTTTCATAAGTATTTATAATAGTTTATTTGTTCATTTGTTTTTACTTTAATATGATATATATCATATTTCTTAATATGTAATATTCTTTTCAATTTCATATATTGTTTATTATGGAGTAAATCTCTCAATCTACATATTTTTGATTGTAATATTCTTTCTATACTTTTCTTTCCACTTCTTTCTTGTTTATTTTTATTCATGATGTTAATAGTGGAAGCTACAGATTTAATATAATGGTAATAATCATCTAATGTATTGATTATTATTTCATTTTTATTAATATTATTAATTATTTGATGTATTTTCTTCTTATTGTAATAATAGTTAATAAATTGTACATCTTCTTGTTCTTTCTTTTCTTCTTCTTTAAATATTTTCATTACCTCCTCTTCTTCTACTTCTTCTTTCTTGTTCATTCTAGTTATTATTTCTTTTAACTCATTATCTTTCCATTGATGTTTTATTATTTCTTCCTCCATTATTCTATTGATTTCTCTTTTATTTTCATTCTTTATTTTAAATG